TTTGTGTGTGTATGTGTCTTTTAGAGAGAGGGTCTCATTATGCAGTTCATGCTAGTCTTGTACTGCATGTACAGTACAGTATAAGTACTGCATGTACTTATGTAGCCCAGGCTGGCCTTGAACTTGCAATGATCCTCCTGCCTCAGCTTCCCAACTGCTGGGATTATAGGCATGCACCACCATGCCCAGCAACACTATATATTTTTGCTTATGCAATATGCTGAGGGGAGAGGGGCAGCTCTCTTCCATGTGATCATTCAAGAACCCAATATACTTCACTGTGTGCATATTTATTGGGTTAATATTATCCCCTAATTATTGCAGACTGACCAGGCCTGCAATCTCCTAAATGAGTGGACAGAGACGGCTTAAATAAGAGTCAAGAGGTTTGAATTTGGGGCTCTGGGAGGTTCAAAACCCTCTAACAGAATTCTCTGGGGCTAAGACAAAGAACTTCTCTAGACAGCTAATATTTATTATATTATCAAACAAAGGAGGGGAATACTGAAGAAAATGCAAAAATCTGAGTAGAACTTGGGAATCCCTCTTAGGGCTTCTCCAGGTAATACATTCTGCTAATTTAGCAGAACTGTGCTCTCTCCAGGAAGGCCTTCCCTGCAGGAGGGAGATGCCTGCAGTTACGGTCTTTATCTGGCTAACTGAGGTTGAAACCAGGAGTCCTTAGCTGTGGCCTTGTCTTGTCCTTTGAGGCACCAAGTCTTCACCTACTATTATGGCTGCCATCTCCAGACAAGGGGCCTAGGTCTTGGGCAGACTTACAAGTAAATATGAAAAACCAATTGGTTAATATAAATCCTGCTCAGGGCCACTTCCTAGTGTTCTCCATCACGTATTATGCTCCCATTGCTGGGACAAAATATCCAACACCCACAACTTAAAGGAGGAAAGGTTTATTTGGCTCAGTATCCTGTGTGTTCAGTCCAAAGTTGGCAGGCTCCAAGGCAGAGCCAGCATGTTGGAAGGGCCTGGCGGAGGAAAACTGCTCATGCCGTGACAGCCAGGAAGCAGCAGGAAGGAATCAGGGCCATGAATACGGCCTTCTGTGTCAAGCCACCATGACCCTTCCAAACATACTCCTCCTCCTGACAGCATCTTACACCAGCAGCACATCATGTTCAGATGAATCCACTGATGAGCACCTCATCCAATCACCTTCCAAACACATGAGATTTTTGGAGGACATTTTATAGCTAAAACATAACACTATTCCTTCCTCATCCTTGAGGATCTCATCGCCATTTGTGTGCAGTCAACAGAAGGAAAGCAACATGGAGAAATGCTTGTCTGATATCTTCATGGACAGGGTAAAAGTATCACATGTGCTTTCCATTCCTCTTCTTTTGGCAAGAACTTGGTCGTGTGACCTAACATAAGGGAAGCTGGGAAAGGTAGTCTGGCTTTGTGCCCAAAGAAGAGTGCATGGATTTTAAGGGTCAACTAGAGTTCTCTGTAACAGACAATACCTCACTTGGAGTTTTGGTGTCTCTGAAGTATTTATTGAGCATCTGCTGAATGCTGAGCTGGGAGAAGGACTGGGAGAAGACAAAGGGCTAACTTAGCACAGTTTCGGCCTGGGAGATATTCATGGTCTAAGACATAGTGTGAGGGAGCTGCCATGCTAGGAGAGAAAAAGGGTGAGATAAAAGTGCTCTAGAAGTTCACTGATTCACTCTACCTTGAAAAGCTGCCTAAAGGGTAATAGTGTCTATGCTTCGTGTCAGAGGTAAACATGGCTTGACTGGTGAAGAAAAACAGCAACAGGAACCATCCATCTAATGGCATGATGATCACAGGCATGGTGACATGGGGACAGGCTGATCGGATGGTGGACAAGCAGAGCATTTGTATTGAAACCCCTTCTCAGTTTGGAAAGAGCAACGGGAGATGCAGCTGGTATTTTCCCCGAGGTCACCCATTCATTTCACTCTGTGTCAATGTTTAAAGAGTCCCATGAGCCCTTGTAGGGCCTAGTCTTGCAAGCCACAGGGTGAAGAAGAGAGTGTGAGGTTATCCAAGAACGCACAATTCCATTCATCTTAGACTAGCTGGTGTCTAGAGTCATTTTCAGAAGAGTGGTGGATGCCTGGAAGAGTCTGGCCCCAAACCAAAGAGGGATCCATGTCGTTCCCCTGCTGAGCCAGGCTCAGGTAGACCTTCCAACCTTTACTCTGTGTCCCCAGTTCATCATCATTGAGTTCTGCGTGTTCGTGTATGTGAGAGACAAGCTGGATGTGTTTGAAGGCAACCTGGAGAATTATATCACTTATACGAACCAGACAGGGATCCTGACCCCATACATCCAGCAGGTGCAAGAGCTGATCAGCGTCGCCAAAGGTAAAGCTATCTATTCCCACCATTCCTGCCACCTGTGGGGGAAACTGAGGAATGTGTACGTGGTCATAGGGTATTGCTGCTGGTATTAAAACTACTTAGCAGATGTCGGAAAGAAATGCGTTAATTTGTGGCTTCCTGGGTTGAGTAGAAAGACAAAAGAGGTCAAGACAGGAAACATGACCTATGAAATTTCTTATTTATTTATTTATTTATTTTTGGTACCATTGAACTTAGGACCTTGTGCTTGCCAGGCAGGAATTTTTTCATTTAAATAGCCTATTTTTTTCAATGCCAATGGGAAGAACTAAAATGATCCTATATTTTTCACTTGGAAAAAATAAAACACCAAATCTTGGCTTTTATTTTTACAATGGCAGAGTTTTTAAAATAACTTTCAAGTGAAAGTCATTTTTAAAACTAGATCTCTTGAATTTATTTCTCTTATTTCACTGAAATTTTGGATTCTTTGACCAACATCATCCTAAGCTCTCCCTTCTGCCACTGCCCACCCTTAGTAATCACCATTCTCCCTTCTGCTTCTGTGAGTCCAGGTTTGTTAGATTCCATAAATAAATGGGATCATGTGGGACTTCTCTCTCTGTGCCTAGTTTATTTTACTTGACATAATGTCCTCAGGTTCATCCAGGTTGTCCTAAATGAAAGAATTTCCTTCTTCTTCATGGCTAAAGAGTATTCCACTGTATATATGTACCACACTTTCTTTAACTATTCACCAGTTAATAGATACAAATTAGTTCCATATTTGGCTATGAATAATGCTGCAGTAAACATGGCAGTACTGATGTCCCTTTGAAAGTACTGATTTCATTTTATTTCTATAGATACCCAGGAGTAGAATTGCTGGATGATATAGTAATTCTATTTTTAATTTTGTGAGGAGCCTCCGTCTTGTTTCCCACAATAGCTGTGCTTTACTTTCCCATAATCAGCATGAGAAGGCTCCCTTTCTCCACATCCTTGCCAGCGTGTGTTAGCTTTGGTCTTTTCAAAAATACCCATTCTAGGGGCTGGGGATTTAGCTCAGCAGCAAAAGCGCCTGCCTGGCAAGCGCAAGGTCGTGAGTTCAGTTCCCGGTACCGGAGAAAAACCAAAAAAAAA